TGGGGAACCAGCAGGTGGTGCGGTGGTTAAGGCACTGTACACTCCCACATGGCCAACCTCAGTTTGAGTCCTGGACCTGGTGACTTGCTTTCTCACTTTCCTTCTCTCTCTCTCTGGCCAAATTAAAATTAATAAAATAATAAATAATTCTTAAAAAATATACATATATATATATATATTTTTTTTTTTGCCAAAGGGCTTGTGTCTCCAGAGAGACAGAGACAGAGAGAAAGAAAGGGAAAGTGAGAGAGCACTCTGCCCCATAGGGCATAGTCATGCCAGAATCCCTTCTCTATTTCTCCTTCCTTTCAGGATTTTGGACACATGTGCACATGTACCCAATGTATTTCTCAGGTGCCAGGTTTGGGATTCAAATTGTGCTGTCAGTCACATGGGAGCCAGCTACCTAAACACCACATCATGGGTTGACCTCTGTTTCACTTTTTGTTTGCAATGCTTTTCTTTTATTTCTTAACCTATTTTCCAGTTTTAGTTGAATTAGTCATGTTTATTTCCCTTTCTAATAGTTTTAATTAAGGCATTTTAAATAAAAGCTTGGACTATTGATAGACAATAATTCTATGTATTTAGAATATGCAATTTTATAAATTTAGCATAGTTATATACCCAGTAAATTATCACAAAACCAAGAAAATGAACACATTCTTCACTCTCAAATATGAGTACCCCTTCATAGTCCTTCCTTCCTGCTTCTTTCTGCTCTCTTCCATAATCCAGGAAATCGGCAATCTCATTTCTGTCTATGTAGATTACACCAGGCTTTATGGAATTTCATAAAGATAGAATCTTACAGTAAATACATTTATCAGTGGGGAGGTCTGTCTTTTTTATTCACCACAACTATTTCTAGATTTATACATGCTGTTGCATGTATGAAGAGTTAACCTTATTTTTTCTAGGTAGTAGCACTTTGGATATATTTACTACAATTTATGTAACCATTCATATGTTCATGGACATTTAAATTACTTCCAAATTTTTCTATTACAGACAGAACTTTCTATGACATTTTGTTTTCATCTTTCCTCTTAGATACCTAGGAATGCAATGACTTGACCTGTAGCAGGTGCATGTTTAGCTCTTTAAGATATTGTCAAAACATTTTACTAAGTGGTTGCACAAATGTTCCTTAACATCAATGATGTATGAGAACTCCAGGTGATCTGTAGCCTTTTTAACACTTGATATGACCTTTTAAAGAAAATAGTCATTTTAATATATGTGTAGTGATATCTCAGTTGGCTTTAACTCTCATATTAATTTTCTTAGTAACTAATGATGCTGACTATCATTTCATGTTCTTACTTGATGTTTAGATGTCTTTGTTTGGTTTAGAGTCTACTTAAATGCTTCATCTTTTTATTCTGGTTGTTTGCTTTCTTTAGAGATTTTTATGTGTTATTAATGTATGGTCTTTGTAAAATATCTGATTGACCAATATTTTTTCCTAAACTGTGGCTTCTCTTTTCATTTTCTTAATAGTGTCATCAAAAGAGAAGAAGTTTTAAATTTTGATGAATTCAATCACATATTTATTTTCTTTTATGTATTGTGCTTTTTATGTCCTATTGAAGAAATCTTTATCAAACTCTAGGTCATAAAATTTTTCTTCTAGTTGTTTCATATTTTAAAACTTCTATATCGATGTTTCTTTATGAGTTTATTTTTATTAGTGGTATGAATTATTACAGATTGAAGTAATTTACTTTTACATATGGAAATTTAAGTATTACAGAACTAGTGATTGAAGACTATTTTCCATAGAATTATCTGTACATCTTTCTCAAAAATAATTTGTACATACATGTATGTGTCTATTCCTGTGCCCTATATTCTGTCCCATTGATTTTGTTGTCTTTTTAAAATTTATTTTATACATTCAATCACTGTACATCATTACAACTTATAAAATGAATTTATTTTCCCAGTCTGAATTCACCGTATGTCAGTCTAGTTAAAGATATTGTCATACATATTATCAACAGACAATCCTCCATTTCTGTGTTCCTTAAATGTCCTACCCAGTTTTCTCCTTGATGCCCTTCCTCTCACCTTTCCCTATCTCACAATCTCTTCCCACACTGTTTCCTGTTTCCACAACCATACTCCATGCTTTTATAATCTCCAATCTTTCAGTTTTCTCTATAAAATGTGGACATTTGGTATATATGTGAGATATACAATGTCTCTCTTTCATTGTATGGCTTGCTTCACTCAATAATATACCTTCCGTATTCATCTACTTTCTTGCAAATGCCAGGTTCATCTTTTTTTATGGCTGAGTAGTATTCCACAGTGTATATGTGCCACACTTTTTAAATACATTCATTTTCTTCATGGACATTTTAGTTGGTTCCATGTCTTTGCAATTGTGAATAGCGCTACAATGTTTATCTTGATGTTATAGTGTATTGTATTGATTCATGTATTTTTTAATATCTTGATATCATTTAGAATGAAAACTCAAAGTTTATTCATTATTTTTCAAAGTTTATTTGAATAATGGATGTCCATTAATTCATATGGATTTAAATTTATCTTTTTGTGAGACCAACAGGTGGCATAGTAATTAAGGTGCTGGACTCCCACATAGTCAACTGCGGTGTGAGTCTGGGACCCTGCAGCTTGAAAGTCACACCAGGAGTATGTATGTCTGTGGCCAAAATCCGAAGAGGAGAATGGAGGATAAGGGACTGTGGTATGGACATCACCCTCTGGGGGGCAGTAATTTCTCTCTGTCTCTAGATCTCTGTTTCTCTGGTGAGTGAACCTACCATATAGCAATACTCCCCTAGAAAAAAATCTTGTTGATTTCTACAAAAATAACAGAAAAAATTTTGAATTTGAAATAATTTTCTATTCACCTTGCAAAGGTGTTGAATATTTTTGTCAAATCTATATCATCACTATCTATACATTTTGAGGTGACATGTTTAACAATATTGAGCATCTGACTCATGAGTATGGTGTTTATCTCCATTTATACATCTTGCCCAGTGTCCCAGTATTGTTTTGTGCTTCTAGTATACAGATATTTTGCATTTGACAGCTTTATCCCTGTGTAGATCTACCAGATTTATCCTTGTGTAGGTTATGCTTTGCCTTTAGTTTCTATGATATTCTAATTTCAAAAGTATACATAGTCTACATAAACGTATAGTAAACACATCCTAGTAAATATATATATATATATATATATGTGTGTGTGTGTGTAATATAAGTGTAGATTAAATATACACTGGTAAAAACATAAATAGTATATATAAATGTACAGCAAATAGGCACTAGTAAATAAATCCATGTAGTTTATATAAACATATAATAAACATGAGTAAACATATAAGTGTTGAAATGACTGTTAGCATCTATATGTATTCGTCTATCTATCTATGTATCTGTTTGGCCAGAGAACTCTCTGGAATGATTAAAGAGATCCTGGGACAGCCCAGTCTGTGAGCTGTAATGCCAATGGCTGCCACCCTCATGACATCATCGATGACATCGAAAGTGGCTACAGTGGAACACCCAACTAGTTAAGAAGTATACAGGAAAACAAATCAATAAAGAATCATCTGAAACTAAAATATAGATATATAGTTATATAGATGATAGCTAGATAGATGATATATTAGGTTGTCTGAAAAGACATGACACATTTTTGCATAGAAAAACAGAAAAAAAATGTATCATGACTTTCCCAATAACCTAATATATAGAGAGGCCATAGACACTTAATATTTTTGTATTTGACCTTAGCAACACATAAGTAAGGGGACTTTCAAGAGTTTGTGAAGGAATGAAATTGAATTAAATTTATTTTCCATGAACTTTCTGAAGACCTCTCGTATATACTCTCCCCTTACATGTAAATAGAGTTATCTATTATTTATATTTTGCTTACATGCAAGGAGGATTTATATATTCACGCTAACATAGGTCAATATGTGAAGCCATAAATGCATATACAGGTATGTAATACGGAGACAGAGCTTTGTCGGGACAGGGAGGTAGTGTTGTTATATTTTGATCAACTGGACTGGGGAGAAATGTTCACATATTGAAATGTTCACTTTGTAAGCTAAATAATGTGATTGAAAAAAAGTAAATAAATAAATTGATAAAATTATAAAACAAAAAATATATACACATATATAAATGAGAAAGTAAAAATAAAGACCATATCAAATAAAAAAATTAATTTGACAAATTTCTTTTCAGAGTTTGTTCTGTGTCTGTTATGGTAGTACAGAAATGGGAGGAAATGAAACCCTGCTCTCAGCCTCTGGAAGGTACACACATACACACACATGAGCATATGTTGCACAATCATTTATCTTCTCTAGAAAGAGCACATGATTGGAATCTCCTTTTAAGACATTTTAAATGAATACATGAAAACCGGAAAAGAGCTTATCTTATGCAACAAAACTTCAAACTGCGTATTAATGTCTTCCTGTATTGTCACAACATTAAACATGAGTGAAATATTGGTTTCCAAATAAAATGCAACTCCAAGGAATAGAACAATTTCAATATTAGAGCAGTCACTTATTCTATACATATTTTTATACTGAGAAGCAGGTCGTTGTTAGAAAAATCTGGTACTGTACGCTTGGGAAATCAGATATTAGGAGTTGCCTTATGTCATGTAGCATTCCAAAGAAGTAATTCTATTTCTTATTTGGTTATGCTCCACACATCAAAGAAAGCATCAGAAACAGTTATACCCAGAGTGACATAGTACCTGTAAATGTGCTGTAAGCGTAGAAATGATACGTATTCTCTACCATATTGTTTCCTTAGCTGAATCCAATGTAATCTTAAGATCCGTAAGTTAACTATTTATAAGGCCCTCCCACTCAAATTAGAACAAACTCTCTTACAAAGGATATATTAAATGAAGATGTTACATGATTTTTCTTAAGCTAATTTATGAGACTTACTCTCTTTTGTTTTTCTTTGTTATTTTGTTAAAGTGTACACAGACTAGGCAGGGGGCTACCACGATCACGAAGGTGGTTTTCCCAGGGTGAGGCTCATCCATTGCACTCCAGATGTGCTGACGCCTGCAATTTCCCCAAATGTGGGAAACTCGACTGCATAATTTGTGGTGGTGAGGGACTGCATTTGCGCTTTTCCCTGAGGGAAAAAAAAAAAAAAGGTGGGGAAAGGGGTACACAGGCTAGCAAGAGAGGGAGAGAGAGAGTTAGAAATCACCTCCCAGGGTGATGACCACGCTGTAATTCTTTCTCATCCAGTCACCTCTTGGGCTTTTGAACACATTTGCACATGTGCCTAGTGTGTTTCTCAAGCTGCTGGGTTCAGGACTCAAGCTATGGAGTCAGCCATGTGGGATCCAGAGTCTTAACCACATGCCACTTATTGGCCCCAGACTTATTTATCTGACAGAACCCAAACAATATAGGCTAGAAATATAGACATATTAATAAAGAAACATTTATTTATAACTTACATGTCAGTTCATTATGTTTTAGCCACTGAAGTTACAGCAGTAAAAAGAAAGCCCCCATTTCTATTTTTTAGGATGTCAAAATAAACCTAGAACAGAAGTTGATATGGAGGAATATATTTTTCTTTTTTTTAATCTTCCAGAGAGGTTTTTGCTATAGGGTGTGTGCACTCGCCAGAAAGACAGAGAGAGAAAGCGAGAAATCACCTTCTGAGGGGATGGCCATGCCACAATCTCTTCTCCTCCATTCTCCTCTTGGGATCTCGGGCATGCACGCACACGTGCCCAGAGTGAGTTTAAGCCACTGGGTTTGGAACTCGAACCACGGTCGACTACATGGGAGTCCAGTGACATAGCCATTATGCTAACTGCTGGTCCTGAGGAATAGATTTCTAATTTTAACTAGATTGGGGATAGGTTAGGGAAGAACTAATTGGAGTAATGTTTTGAATGAAACGATTTTTTTCTATGCAATTATCTGGGTGGAAGTGTTCTCTAGGCAAAAGGACAGCAAGCACAAAGTCTGTGAGGCAGGGACATAGTTGATATGTTCAAGGACAGTGAGGAGCCCCACATAACTAGATTATAAATAATGAGAAAGCAAACACTAGGAGATGAAGTTAGAGGGTGGCAGCGACCTGATCGTGCACAATCTTGTAAGTCATAACAAGTACTTTCACTCAGATGGATAGCTATTGAGGTTTTGTTTTTTTCTATTTTGCATTCTGTAAGAGTGTCATGATCTCATTTTTGTCTTAAGGGAAACACGCTGTTGTTTAAAGAATATATTGAAGGGGTCCAGGGGCTAGGAGGGAGAATATTTAGCAAGGCAATGACATTATCCAAGGTAGAGAAGATGTGGGTAGACTAGGTTATTAAGATGTGGCCAACTTATGACTGTATTTTCAAAGCAGATCTAACAGGATTATTGAAGAACTGCATACAGTGTGAGAGAACAGTCAAGAATCACACCAAGATTTTTACTTGAACAACTAAAAGAATGGAATTACCCCTACATACTATGAGGAAGACTTCAGATGGATTTTGTTGAGTAATATCCTGAAGTAATTTGGGGCAAGTTAATCATGAGCCATATATTATTTATAGAATTCCAAATAGACATGTCAGATGAGCAGTTGATTCTATAGGTGTAAAATTTAAGGCAGTAATCTAGTTATATAAACATACCACATAAATGATACAGTCATAAATGTAGATATAAATGTACCATGTAAAAATTTAAAGCTCTGGATGGTTTCGGCTTTAGTGGCTCAGTGGTAATGCCACACTCGGAAAGACTGGAAGCCATCGGAACATCAGATTTGGTTCCCAGGTCTATCTGAACATGCTTGGCGCATGCATGCCTGTGATTGACTGGTTGGAAGATTGGTAAAGACGGGAATCACGGAGTGAGATTCTGTTGAGCATGTGACTCTCCTCTCTCTCCCTCACATAGAATCAATGTATAATACAAATAAACTTTTTTTGTGAGTTTTTTTTTTTTTTGCTATAGGGCGTGTGCACTCGCCAGACAGAGAGATAGAAAGCGAGAAATCACCCCCAGAGGGGATGGCCACGCCGCAATCCCTTCTCCTCCATTCTCCTCTCGGGATCTTGGGCATGCATGCACACGCACCCGGCATGAGTTTAAGCCACCGGGTCCGGGACGCGAACTGTGGTCGACTATGTGGGAGTCCAGCGACATAGCCATTATGCTAACTGCTGGTCCCGAATACAAATAAACTTTTCAAAAGTTATGAAATAGAATTGGATTACAATGCATGTAAAATATAGATCACCTCTACAGAGAGAAAGGAAAAGATGTCCAATGTAAGAAGTTGAGGACATGAGGGAGGATCAGCATAAAAGAGGAATTACCATAGCATAGCTAAAACCCAAGCAAGTAGATATCCTGAAAGCCCCAGGGAGAAATTTGAAGAAAAAGAGTGATAAACTATGTCATGTGCCATAACAGGTCTGCAGAGATGATCACATGGGAGGAGGGCAGGCAGGGTCGGCTAAAGAACATTAGAGAGTGAAAGTTTGCAGACAAGATAGAGGGGGTATGACAAAGGAGATGGGTCACCCATTCTACAGTGTGAATGTCACCTATTCCACAGTGTTCTTCAGGACTGGTTAGGGATACTTATAAATTACATTTTATTCTTTTGCTTATGTCTCCAAATAACTCCTTTACTTTATTAGCTCCTCTTAAACAGTGTCTCTTAGTTCAATCTCTCTTAGCCTCATTTCTCTGTCGTCAGTCTGGATCATACCTTTACCTTTCAACTCTGCAGTCCCCTAAACGGTGTAGGGTTTTTTTTTTTTGGAGAGGTTTTTGCTATAGGGCGCATGCGCTCGCCAGACAGACAGAGAGAGACATAGAAACAGAAAGCGAGAAATCACCCCCAGGGGGGATGGTCACGCCGCAATCCCTTCTCCTCCATTCTCCTCTCGGGATCTTGGGCACGCACGCACACGCGCCCGGCATGAGTTTTAAGCCACCAGGTCCGGGACGCAAGCCGTGGTCGACTACGTGGGAGTCCAGCGACATAGCCCTTACGCTAACTGCTAGTTCCCAATGGTGTAGGTTTTTGTGGGCAAGACAGGGCCAACGTATGTATTATATGGTTAGGGCTCCCGATGCTTTCAGAGTTCTATGAAAATATTTTAATCTCTTTTAAAGTCAGAAGAAAAAAATGAGCTGTTTAGCCAAAAATTGTTTTTATATGTATTGTTAGAATATTTTATTTTTAGAAAGACAGAAAGCAAGAAATCACCCTCCGCCCCCCCACCCCCCCCAAGGGGGATGACCATGCCAAAATCCATTCTCCTCCACACCTCTCAGATTTTGGGCATGCATGCGTACGTGCCCGACATGAGTTTCAAGCTACTGGCTCCAGGATTTGAACCGTGGTTGGCCATGTGGGAGTCCAGTGATGTAACCACTACACCATCTGCTGGTCTCTCTTTTTTCTTTGTCTTTCTTTTTTTTTCTAATAAAGGAAGAAAAAGATAAAGATATTTGGACCCCATGAAAGCCATGATGTGCCCTAGAGCCACACACATATATTGCCCTATAACAGAACGACATTGGAGAAGAGCCTTATTCAAGGTGTGTCCATCCTTAAAATTCTTCCAAGAGAAACTGTCTCCTACTGAATAAGAGACAACTCCTTAGTTTTCAAATGATCTTTCTAAATCTCTCATCAAACTGACATTTAAGTATTTGGTTTCATTTGCTCATCAGTTTGAACATACCTCTGCTTTTATCTTCAATGAGAAAAAAAATGAATACTTTTTGTGATATTATGATAAAAATGTATTTTCCATATTATATTGTCATTTTATAATATAAAACATAAAGTTAGATTATATTATAAAATATGTAAAATTATATTATAACAAAATTTATTAAAATGAAAGTCCAAACCTCTTCAAAAAGGAGTAATTTTAATAAGTTTTCTTTTTCTATGTAAGCTAATTGGATTTTTGTTTCCAGGAATTCTGTTAGGTAGTACCAATCCAATGAGCCCAAAATCAGAATGTTTGAGTTCAGATTAAAACTCAGACTCTGGGGGAACCAGCCGTTAGCGTAATGGCTATGTCGCTGGACTCCCACGTAGTCGACCGCGGTTCGTGTCCCGGACCCGGTGGCTTAAAACTCACGCCGGGCACGTGTGCGTGCGTGCCCAAGATCCCGAGAGGAGAATGGAGGAGAAGGGATTGCGGCGTGACCATCCCCCCTGGGGGGTGATTTCTCGCTTTCTGTCTCTATGTCTCTCTCTGTCTGTCTGGCGAGCGCACGCGCCCTACAGTGAAAATCTCTCCAAAAAAAAAAAACAAAAAAAAACTCAGACTCTGAATGCTTCTCCAAGACAAACTTCTTTAAGCACCTCATCTCTGAAGTGGCGTTAATAATAGTATCTTTCTTTACCATTTTATTGTTGTTATGGCCAAAGGAGATGGTTAATTTTAAACCATTAAACATGTACAAAGTGTCCTGTAGTGATTTCTTAACAGGTGCAGCAGAATCAGAGAGCAGATTTCAAATTCTGGTGGGTTTTCTAACTCTTTGCTCTATTACTTATGAACTATGCAACTTTAAACAAATGACCAAATTTCTCTAAGCACTTGATTTCCCTTATGTGAAATAAAGTTAACAAGGATCTTGCAAGGAAGAGGAAAGAACAAGCATAAAATCTAACATGTCATTAAAAGGAGTAATTATCACCCTTTTTTCATCCTTATCCTAATATCATCCTGAAAGATGGAGACCAAATAAAGACAAAGACAGTATCTTTTCTCACAACCTTTACAAAACTGTTTATAAACATTATGGGTGCCTGTATGTAAACAAACAAACAAAAAGACTTGGTATTCTTACTTTAATATGACCTAACAGTGGCCAGCAGGTGGTGTACTGGTTAAGGTGCTAGACTCTCACATGGCCAACTATAGTTCAAGTCCTGGACTTGGTAGCTTGAAACTTGTGCTGAGCACGTGTGTTGTGTTCCCAAAATCCTTAGGAAAGAGT